CTTGGTTGACATCAGCTTCAGTTTTGAATTTTTTTTCCTGTAAAAAGTTTTGCAAAGAGAGAAACAAGTGATAATCGGAGAGTGCTAGGTCTGGGGAGTATGGTGGATGTGACAGAATTTCCCAGTCTGGCTCTGCGATTTTCTGACGAGTCGCCAAAGCAGCATGTGGTCTGGCATTATCATCGGTAGCCATGTTTTCACGATCGCGTCTCGCTTAATAATGACACGAGACATCTTTGTTTCAGTTTATTTAGGAGAGTACATGTGTGTAAATGCAATGATAAAGAGAGATAGTCATATATGTCTCAAATCAACATGTGCACATGGATTGAAACTTGAAGTGACACTATCGGACAGAACTTTCCGATAGACCTAATAATAGCAATGAACTTGAAGCAGAACAAAATATAATTAAACATTAGGCCGAGTAATAAATAACCTCCGATGCAGCTAGCTAGAATCTATTGTTCGTATCTACCTACTATGAATCATCGGGACAAACAAACTTTTGCTTCCACTGAATGCGTAAGGATTTGAAGGAGGGTTCAAGGACTTCGAAGGAGTTTTAAATATTGGAAGGATTAGGCAACGCTGGACGCTGTTCCCAGCGAACGAAGGCAATAAAATCCAATCCTGACGGACGGTACCGCACGGGATAGAATAGAAAATTGACAACGGCTTTGATATTAGAATTGTTGGAAGGATGGCTCAGCCGTCAGGTATACCGTGATAGACAATCATGCGGCGGATTATACAGAGTGTCCTAAAAAAGCAACTTCTTCCAGTACAAAAATTTTCTCCGAGGCACCGTTAACAAGTTATTATCGAAAAACAGTGACCAATAAGAATCGAGCACGGCTGACGCGAGGCGGCCCAGCCAATCAGCGCACGAAGTCCAGTTCTGCTCATTGGCTCGGTCGCCTCGCGCCAGCTGAGCACGCCTCTTATTGTTCACTATTTTTCGTTAATAACTCGCTAATGGTGCCTCGGAGAAAATTTTTGTAAAGGAAGAAGTTGCTTCAAATGACCCGAGGAACCCGCCACTTTCGAATTGCGAGACATTTTTGGGACACCATAGAAAAGATGTCATAGAAAAAATGTAAAAAATATGTAAAAAAATAGTAAAAAATTATAGACGTTTGAACTCGCAGCGTTTTCGAGAAAAATGTGTCGTTAGTTTCTTCCTAGAGATTTCAAGCTTAGGAATGAAATTTTTCGAACTATTTTCGAATTATAAATTTCGTAACGCAAAATTCTTCATGCAGTCCACAAATATTAAGAATTTATTTTTCACCGAAAATTGTCGTTGATCTCGTTTCGAAATTAAATCGCGTGCAGCATCTGCAATGATCGATCAAATCGGCGAGACTCCAACCAGATGGCACATTACTTTCCAGTGATTCACAGATTTTGTATCTGTCTCAGATCGCCTGACAAGAAAGTGAAATAAATCAACAGGACAAAGTGACCGTTTACGTAGCGTAAAGTCGGAAAACGGTAGAAAACGACCGTAGAGCGACGGCGACGGTCCCCGGAAGGTAAAAGTTTTTCGGTGCAATAATCGCGGGTCGTAAAGGTTTAGCTGTTTATTGCGGCCGCCATTGCCTCTTGGAATAGGTTGTAACTGATTTCTTCAACGAAACAAATGTCCGTCGTTTATTGTCTCGCGCCTACATGTTTATCTTTTGTGAAACGCTCTCTGCAATCTTCGTAAGGCGCTTACCATCTTCGGTCTCTCTTCTTTTTATAGCTTTACGCGTTTATTGACAAGGTATTATTGCTGGGAAGCGTGCCGCACATCACCGTGAGACAGAGAGGTATGAAAAAGATTTCCCTTAAGGAAATGAATGGACAGAGATTTCCCTTATGTGTGTTCGATAATTGTTGCTCGCTCGTATTACAAATGGAGCAAATTGAACAGCAGTAAACGTCGTACTGCTCCGATTTTAACGTATGTTTCTTGTTAGTATCTATTTTCAGTCGGTGTACCCAGCTTTCCCTGCAAAATTTTCTCCCGCAACTTTCTCGTAAGTGTACAATCTTTTTAAAAATGCATCGATCTTATCCAGTCTTGTATGAATTTTATCTACTTCATCTATTCCAAGAGGTTGATAGAAACGAGGACAGCATAATTCTTCTCTTCTTTGCTGGTGTACTGTTCTTATTAAAGTCTAAGAATCTAAAGGAATTTTTCTATTTTATAATAAATAATTATTATTATCCAGCTTTCTGTGTTGCATTAAAACATGAACAGAAGGAGTATTAATGTGTATAAAATCAACAAGTGTCACAAAAATATGGAAGGGAATAACAGATCGTAAGAATCATAGTGCATAGACATGAATATAAAATTTCATGTTCCAATGATTCTTCCATTTCTGTGTTGTCCAACATGCGAAAATGGAAGAAATACCTGTTTCTTGTATGGATACCATTAATGCAGATTATTCAGACTACACGTATGTGTTGCTTGTGTTCACACGATATATTCGTATCATAAATCATGTAAAGGCCATACTATTTCATAGATACCACATTGTAAAAATTAAGAACACAGAAACAGCATAATCAACGTACAAATCGACTACAGCCATCGCAATGCACTCTATCGACATTACAAAATGGCAGACCAGCGAACATAAAATGGCATCGCACGGTGTAAACGCGTTCCTCCGATCAACGATCCCAAAAAATGCTCTAACATCGAGAAACTGCCCGACCAATGCCTGGGAAAATCGCGGCCGTCGCAGAGCACTTTATCAATTTTCTAAAAACCCAGAAAGTCTCTAATGGTCGTCGACAGAGGTCGAAAACGGCTCTGCAAAGGCAGCCATGATCGCGAAACTGCCTCGCAAAAATATCCGCAGTCGCATGCAGGCGCAATTCGATATCGCGTTTTCCCATGGCGTCGCCTCTATAAAACAGCGTGCACGCCGCGCGAAAGAAAGAGTTCATTGATGAGACCGTGGGCCGGAGAACAGTGCAGCGCGGCCCGAGTAAACAGTATTTAACGTTTCAGAAGAATTCCCACACAGGGTGCCCTCTCTCGCACCCCCACCGTCCCCCCTCTTCCCTCCTATGCATCCGATGCATCGTTGCGCGCGCCAGCCACACTTATGACGCTCGTACACACACGTCCGCCATCCGACACACGGTGTTGCGCTCTCGCCCTTCTCTCTCTTTTTCCCTCTCTTTTTATCTTTCTCTCTCTTTTTCTCTTTCTCTCTCTCTCTCTCTCTCTCTTTCTCTTTCTCTGTGTCTCTCTTTCTCTGTTGCATGATCCTCTGTCGTTTGCCTTTGCCGAGCCGCTGCATGTTGCTGGGAGTTGGGATTGTTGGGGTTTCATCGCGGCGATCGCACCGACAACATCGTCTTTGCGGTACTTGAACTTTTTACGCCACGAGGATCGTGAGGATCGCTCCTTTTTTTAACCCCTTAGGGTTCACTGGTGCACGCGGCGCGTCGACGACAGTGGAAGATACTGATTGGCGCTACGGAAATTTATGAGATGCTTTTTGGAAAGATTTTCGAGCACAGAGATTGCACTGTGTTTCTGCAGATGGTTGCAATGCTTGAACGACGTCTTTATTTCTTTCGAGGCAGTTCTAGAGGATTTCGTGACTTTGCATTGTCGTATTTACGATTTAGGCGTGAAACGCCTAGCCGTATAAAAATACGGTACTGATTTTTACTTTAAGTACGGTATTAAGTACGGTATTAAGTACGGTATTCATTTTTATGCAGAATACGATTTCCGGTTGATAAAAATACCGTTTTGAGATAGAAGCGATCGGAACAATGTTTCTTCGTCGATATTTTTAAGTTGTTGCGATTCGTTTTCTGTTGAAACTTTCACCAACTCATTTTTCTTAATAATAAATCTGCAGTCTAAATATGTATGCACAGTAAAGACACTGCGACAGTGCATCAATTTTTGCGCAAACGGGAAGTATTAATTTTTCTGGATTCATTCTTTTGTGGCAAATTGCTTAGAAAATTGATATTCTTTTCCTTCTAATTATACCGTGGTAAATGTATCAATGTATCAACTAACCATTGTCCACAAATAATCATAGAATTTCAGAAACTTCGAACCTGTGTCTGTATAACCTTACACTTTGACAATATACAAGAAAGAAAAATGTTCAAAAAAGAAAATTCAGAAGATAATGAATATATTATTATTATATATATTTTATTAATTATAATTAATATATAATTATAATTAATATATTATTATTATATATATTTTTATTACCTACAATTTGCACAATTAATTCTACTACATGGTAGAACAAAGCAATCCTCGCAAACCAAAGTAAATCAAGGTACCCGCATTAATTTAATAAGGTGTAATTAACGAATCTGAAGATGAACAACGGCTGGCCATTTCGTTCCCCGAAAAGATGATCCAATTGTTCGGCGTCTTTATTAAATGGCTAACTAAAACAAAACGAGCTTTACGCTGTATTAAAAAAAAAAAGAAAAATGAAAGAGGAGCGAATCAAAACGAAAAAACGAGTATGTGAAACGAGTAGACTCAAGTTTCGAGGAGACTCTGTCGCCTTGTCCCGAGGACGGCGTGAATTCCCACACATCAACAGGTCTCAGGAGGACCTCCCACCCCATGGGTAACCGAGAGAGCCCCACTCCATGCCACGCTTCACCCCACTCCGACCGCGGCGAGTGCATCGGCATGCGGTCTTCGAAATCGAAAACGTCAAACAGTTACCCTCCACACCCCAAGCGGGACGACGCCGGTAGCGGCGATCATCCCCAACCCTCCGGTGTACACGAAAGTCTTCTAGAAAATCATTCCAGTAGTACCTCGCTAGCCTCGGGGATACATGTTCGATCATCAGTGTGATTCAGTTCAATGAAAAGGACATTGAAAGACTGTGTTGATAGCCTTGGGCAATAGCTGAAAGTGTTTTAATCGGTGCATCAATGGTGGATTATTATAATTACAAGATGTCGGGGAGTGAGGATGAGCCGGAGGTTCACGTGCAGTCAGGGATGACCAAGGCCGAGTTGCGAAGGGTAACGATGCCTTCATTTCTTACCCTTTTCTCCCAATCGTGAAGTGTTTCGAAGCAATTTGTTGCAGTGTTGACGGTTGTTGCAGCTTGATGTTACCGTGTATATAGTTGGCAAGCTGTAAATGAGTCTTTAGAGATTGTCAGAAGTTGGATATTTTCTATAGATATATCCAACATATCCTAGATAGATCTAGGATTTTATTTTATTTAGTTTATTATTGAATAAACGCACAAAATCCTTGATCTACAGATCATCATTCCCAGATCTCTAAAAATATCCAATTTCTGACAATCTCTGAAAACTCGTTTAAAACCAAATCTCCATAAACATTTGAAATATCTAACATCTTCAACGAACGTTAAAGATGTTAGATTCTCCAAATGCTTATGGAGATTTGGTTTTATTAAGATCTAACGTTGCGTCGGTTTCGTTATATTTATCATTCAGCGAATACGTTATTAAAAAAAAAATTCAGAATGTACTTTTTGAACTTCTCAACTTGTCCATAAAAATGTGCACTTGCGTAAAATTTTACACATGTATGCAGTCAATTTTCAAGTAAATGACTAACGTAGATGAGATCTATCATCTTTATCGATATATACAAGCGAGAGCGAATCGTTTTTAATTGTCTAAAAGATTCCTCGTGGCGTGTTGTTCGAAAAATGTCCAGGATTGTCGGCGGTTTACTTTCGTCTGTTCCTAACGACCGCTTAAAAAAAACGTATACAACACCGTTTCACGGATCATACGCGATTACCAAAATCGACGCCAATAACTAAACGAATATTTTCGTTTCAATATGTATAATCGACAATAACATCAACCTCTCCAAAAGAATACAGCGAAAGCGTCGCACACGTTCCAAGATTTCTCGAAATCGTCCGATTCGATCTCGATGAAATCGCTTCGAAAATTATACGCCAACTCGAACATCGAAAGAGATCGGTTCGCGCCCGACAACACTCGACAGGTTTCTTCGGCGAAACGATATCACAATGAAACAAAATCAGATCCGCGACAACATCGAATTCCCCTCCCCCTTACACCTTCCTGCTCACGCACGAACCGCTCTTATCGCTCCCACGTGCTATCGCGTGGAACCAATTGTAACTCTCGATCCGATAACGCCGCGATCTATCCCAGCGTAGTAGTCCCCCGAGCCGCGTATCGATCCCTGAAGCTCCTAATTCGCTAATTGCAGAGCAACAAGCCTATCATGGAGAAGCGTCGTCGAGCGCGGATCAATCAGTGCCTGGACGAGCTGAAGAGCCTGATCCTGGAGGCGATGAAAAAAGACGTGAGTATCCAATCCGGGATTTACCATGGGGCGATCGGCGAGCCTGTTATCGGCGCCGCCGGGTGGTCGCGGCCGATGACAGTGATTTCGAGCGATCGATCGATCGATCGAGACCCGGCCGTAGATGTCGACCGCAGATAGAGCGGTCTCGCGCAGCCTGCGGTTTTAATCTGTTAATCGCGTGACACGGTGAAACGGCCGGCACAACGGAATTCTCTTGACGGGGAACGACATCGGCAAAGCTCCCGGCCGATAGCACGAGACCGCGCCGGCCGTACGCGTGATCCAGAACGTGGCGCTCGTGTGCGATCCACGTTCTCGCCGCGGCGAGCCGCTCGAAACGTGCCGCCGCGAACGTGACCGATCTCCAAGACTTATCTCTCGTGACGTTATCCCCCCGGTTAACGGTGATAACGCGGAAATATGTGTGCAGCCTTGCCACCCCGGCCCGCGAATATTTTCGTCACGTCCTTGGTAATTCCCCGATCGAGATCGCCGCCGTGGCCGCACGATCGATCATTCGGGTTTTGGACGTCGGCTGAGGTTTTCCGGTTCGAACGATTATTGGCAGTTTTAGCGGCTGCGACGATGATTGCTTTCGATTAGGCGGGATTAGGCGATAATTTCGTTGCGTATCGGGAGGGGCTAAATTTAGCGTCAACCTTCGAAAAGAAGAGGAAAACGATTCCTCGGATGTCTGTCCACGGAGACTGGATAATCGTTGTTCCACTTGGTCGTGTCAGTTCAGAATTCTTTAATAATTCGATAATACAGTTGGTTGGAAAAATCGTAGTGCAACGATAATTATTTTGACGCAAATGAGATTGTCTGCATTCGTTCGAAGACGCAGAAGTCACGTTTTTGTTTACGTATTTCTTCCTCTTTCCCTGATGTCAATTTCTTGAAAACAGCGCACGAGTATTTTCAAATTCCTCAAATGTTTCCGCCGTTTTGCATTCGATCCGCAGATCACTGCCACGAAATCCGCAGTCAAACGATTGCGATCGCGATTAGATAAAAGAAGATTTGGTCGGCGGATTACGGAAAAGAGCGTAGGATAATTTCGATTGCAGTAACAGAAGATCGCATCACCGCTGGAAACGGCACTTTCAAGTTTCGTCGCCTGTATCTTCCGGCTAATTGAACCGAGTCAATGGCTCCTAGTCGCGAATATAATTGTGGCCGGGAATAGGAAGAGCTTGTCGCGCAGGTAATTGGCAATTTTGTTGCGTGGAAATTCTATTCGAAAAAGCGATCGAGTGGAATGTACTCCTGCACACTGGGTTCGCCACTCCGTTCAGGGAGTGAAGTGCCATTGTCGAGACTCAGGCGGAGGTTACGTGTTGGCAGAGAGGGCTTCCACCATCCGTTCCCACGGCAAGGCATCTAAAACACTAAAACAAAACCCCGTCCAACTCCTGCTACCGGAGTCCCAATTCTACAGTCGAAAACAAATCATGTCACACGGGAGGACGGCGGCGGTGTTCGAGAAAGAAAGAGAGAGAGAGAGAGAGAGAGAGAGAGAGAGAGAGGGAGAGAAAAAAAGGAGACGGCCTGATCAAACAGTTCTAGCCAACATCCGCAGCCCGAGCTCATCCTATCAGTTTAATTAGAAGATCGACTCTTGACCTTTATACCGAGAGCTCCGAAACAATCTGCCGCGGTTACTGCGCATGCCTTAGCTGACCATTGTGACTTTAACCAATTCGCACCGTTGCCGGTCCCTAAATGGACTCTCGTAATAGATTCCGGGCATTTCGTGACTCCAAAATTGATGTCTTCGTTTTTGGGCTCCGATGACTCGACGTTCGCCAGAATTCGATGGTTTCGGTCGCTGTAACCTTATTGGAGGCGATTCAATGTACAATTTTGTTGGCTGGAATGCGGACATTGTTACCGATCATTTATTTTTGCACGATATATTAAACAGAAAAACAAACATAGTCATTTTTGATATTTTCTTTGCGTCGATGCGAACATATAATGAAAACATTCTTAATGTCCGAACGATAATTTGAATGATACATGTTTGCTTTGTTCACAATCGTATATTTCGTTACAATCTTTACTAAATGCCAATTGTCAATAACTATAAAATAATGATAACGATAATCGTATCTCCTCTTCACAAAATTGTCCATTTTTGTTTACAAGCTGAAGGACAATTGGAAATAATTTACTGCACTGTCATTTATTATTCATATCATTTAGTGGCAGTAATGTTTGTAACAAAATATTCGATTGAACAAAGCAAACATGTATCATTCGAATTATTATTTGAACAATTGAGGAGATGTTCAGATATTCCATTTTCTTTTCTACTTCGAAAATAACGTCTATATTTAATCTCTTAATTAACAAGATACCGAAAGATGCGTTTTTGCGAATTTTTCACAATAAAAGTACGATAATGATAGACGATAATTTATTTTTATTAAATGATCTTCGCCAGAGCTGTAGCAGTGATTGAATTGTGTCCGCACAGATAGCTTCAGACGTCTATGTATAAACTGATAAGACGCAGGAAGTAGCATTTTTGAAAAGAAAAAACTTACCAACAGCATCCGCGAGATTTTCTCGCTGTACCGTATGATAGAGGACTCCGCTCGTGTAACACGATCCATCGAGATTGATTTCTCAGACAGGAATATAACGAGAGCTAGCCGCTCTCACCGTTCTCTTCTCCTCGTCCAGATGACTTCCGCTACCTGCTCGCTCCAGTGTCCGTCCCGTTCGCCCATACGAAACGCCCCCCGCGTTCGTGGGAACCTCGAAATAATTATTACCAAGGAAAAAAAAGAGAATCTCATCTCGGGTTACAGACTCCCTTTGTTGACCGTATCATCTTTAAGGATCCGAGGCATCGCGAGGACCACGGTGATCGGCAAAAAAATCAGAGGAGGACGCATCTCGTCCTTTTCGTTGATCCTTTAGCAGGTGTCGGTCCTTCAAGTCCTTAGTGTCGTATTCGCGTTACGGGAAATACGATTTCCGCGTCGATTCCCCTCTTCTTGAAACTTTTGCTTCGTCTTTTCAGACTCTCGGCACCTTTTCACCGTAAGCCTAATCTTCTTTTACCGACGAAAATCGTCCCGGTCCGCCTCTTTTATTCTGAATTTCATTACTTTTTTCACACGGTGTTCAATTGTTTTGATGGTAGGCTGAAACAGGAGGATACAAATATGGATACAAGTTGAAGGTGGGTAGCATTATTTGTTGGTGAACTGATTGTTTGTGATTGTTTTACGAATCTTTTTTTCTTTTGAATATCGAAGGGATGGTGCAAATTATAACGTGGTCGAAGAAATTAATAATTGAAATGAATTTCTTTTTTGAAAATGAAGGAAGGAGTGTTAACCTATAACGTAATGGAAAAAACAGACAATTGAGTTCATAAATTAGTTGTTCATAAATTGAAGGCACAATGAAAATTATAACACAGTGGAGAAATAAACGATTAAAATGAACTATTTCTGTGGAAATCGAAGGGATGGTTGGAAATATGACACGGTGGAAAAATTGATAATTTATAAATTCTTTCTCTAAACTCATGAAAACAATGGAACAAAATTAAGATAAGGTTATCTTGAAAACAAAACAACGTGAAGAACGTATCGCTCTTTCGAAAATAGCAAAAAATGTGTAAAATTGACTCCGCTTCATTTTCAAAATTCAAATAATTTTCTCGAGTCGATCATTAAACTCCTTCGAAAAAAAGGAACATGAATTTTCACAATAGAAAATTGCTACCTGCTAGAATAAACATTGTCGGGGCGCGGTTAGCGATTTTTAAGTCAGTATATCTTTTTCGGGAGCACGTTCAGAGGGGCAGAAGGGGCCTGAAGAGGCTGAATGGGCCTGTGTAACCGATCCCTTCTTCGACTCCCACGCTTATTTCGAAGGTGACCGCTAGTTTACCATAAAAATGCGAGCACCATCCTGAGTTGGGGCGAGGAGAGGATCGTGTCGTAGAAAGGACACAATAGAATCCTCGAGCTTGTAGAGCTGCATCGGTATTGAGTTATTGATCTCTAAAAGGCTAGTGGGAATCCGGAGAATACTGAAAGGGCTAGCTGGTTCTGGTCCGAAAAAACGTTTCGGTATGGCTCTCGAAGATCTAACGGGTTCCCACGATATGGGACCTCCTGTTTGCCGATCGCGCGTAACAGCCACCGTTTTACCGGACAATCTCTGCGCCTTCGGTTAAACGCGTGCTTTTAATTCGAACGACCGCGCGCAGCTGGTTTTCAGCAATTTATCGAGTAACATTTGCATATACATAGAAATTAATGGAAAAAACGCTCCGGTAGAACGTAACACCGGCAGCCTCCGGGGGATTACGAAATTGCTCGCGCTAGCTACCGAAGTTAGCGCTCTGTTATTAAGGTAACAGGTCGTATCGAGGCAATTACGTGGGCGTTACCTAGGCGTCACAGATTTCTTGGCTGAGCGATCGGTAATCGTTCCCGGACCGTGTCCCGAGGGTACAGCGTGATTATTGGTCTCCGAACAGGCTGGGAACGATGTTTCCCTCTTCCGGAACCGTTCCCCGTTGCTTTCGGTGGATAAGGCAGCTTGCTGCAACGCGACCGTTGCCCTAACAGCGGCTGACCTTATCGATCGCCCGCAAGGGTTGTTTTTACCCTCGGGACCCGATCGTTCGAACTCGCGGATAATCCTTTTTGGAATTCGCCCTTTCAATTCTTTTTATTGATATAATTTACGGATAAAATATTTAATCGGTGATAAATAAATATTCTGACCGTCTCCGTTTCTATTTCAGCCGACCAGGCATTCGAAGCTCGAGAAGGCCGATATCCTCGAGATGACGGTGAAGCATTTACAAGCGGTGCAGCGTCAGCAATTGAGCACGGCGATCGCTACCGATCCGGCGGTGTTAACGAAATTCCGGACCGGATTTTCAGAATGTGCTACCGAAGTATCGCGGTACGTCAGCCACCTCGAGAACGTCGATCCCGTTGTCAAGCAACGACTGGTATCACACTTGAACAATTGCGTCAGTAATCTGCAGCAAATGGCGCCCTTCTACAGCCACTACGTGCCCTACATGCCGGAACGCCTCTACCCGGAGGTGAAGGTCGGTTTCCAGAGCGATTTCCAGAATGGCGACGAGAACAATAACGGAAGTGCCAGGATACAGATACCGAACGGTGTTCAGCTGATACCGAGCCGGCTGCCGAGCGGCGAGCTGGCTCTTCTGGTGCCGCAATCGGCGGCCATCTCCGCGAACTTTCCCTTCTTTCCGCCGGCCGCGGAGCCGGCGTCGAATGTCGTTCAGTCGTCCGCGTTCACCGTGGTCCACAGGCCCCAGAGCCCGTTGCTAAGTCCTTCCACGTCCACGTCCAGCTTCGGAGAGGAGAGCCATAACTCGGAACTGTATCTCCAAGCCCACTCGCCCAATCATCAGCCGCGGTTCAAGATACCCGAGCCGAGTCCGGCCTCCTCGAAGAGTTTCGCATCGTCCCCGGAGACTCAAAAGCCGCAAATCAGCTCCACCAGCGACAGCAAGTCGCCGGTCCCCGTGTTCGCGGAGCCGAAGCTCGATGGAGGCCAACCGACGGGGAAGGACGTCGCCGCGGACTCGTCGGACATATTGGACGGCGACGGGATCGCGACGAATTTACGGCAACCGCTGTCGGTGATCACCGATAAGACCTACAATCGATCCAGCCCGGTGGCCGCCAACAGGAGGGAAGCCATCAAGAGGCACCACGACGGACTTCTAGTAATCTCCGATAAAAGACCTAGGTACCAAGAATCGATCAGCTCCACCGTTCCCATGGATTCTTCTAATGGCGCGCCAAAATCCGGGGACGATCAACCGCTGGCTATAGAGGATTTGTCGAGGAGACCGACTTGCTCGACTAATAGAAATTCTAATCCTAATCCTCTAAAATTTGCTGCGGTGGCCGGCCCTTCGGGCGCGAACGCCGATATGTGGAGACCCTGGTGATTCCGGGATTGTCTTCACGGTTTCGTTCGTCGGCACCTAGCACGGAGATACCCGGCCTAGATTGCTTAGTACAAATAATTACGTTAGCGACCCACACGACTGTGACAAGTATCCTAAGATCGAAGAAGCATCGCGCGCAACGTTGTGCCTTAAACGGACGGCAAAACTCTTTTGGATTTCTTTTCTCTTGACGGCCATTTCGTTTCATTTCGTTTTAACCTGTTACCGTATCGTTGTGAACTTTACATCAATTTGTAAACTTTTATTTCATAGAAGAAATAGAACATTTAGATTTATCGAGCGTTTACATCTGCTTGATCGTTTAAAACATTGACGACAGTCGATAGAATTTGATTCCGTCTCGAAAAGTCGCACGCCTAACAGCTCATTACTAGAGATCTCTACCGCGAGTCTGGTACGGCAAGGGGTTTAATGCTTGATTCGTTGTGGAACGATGATTTTATTTCAACCCTAATTAAGTATATTGAGGTCACGAGTGACCCGGACAATGTATTTCTATCTTATTCCGTAGCGGAAGTTCAAATATTTCCACGTTTATACTATTTTATACGCTAGCTAGGTGTACGATTTGTCTAGATTTAGATGAACCCGTCATTTGCGCTTTATATTTAGGGTCTACCGTGACCCCGGTATGCCACTTACTTTTGTGAAAATCATTGCGGCAATTAACGATTAAGATACAGTTAACGAGTGAATTTGCTCCAGTAATTTTGTTTCGATCGTGCCAACTGAGCCACACAGATTTTTGAAAAGCTCGGAATGAGATTCCGTGAAAGATTGTTTTTCACCGCACAAAACACACGTCGCTCTTGACTTCGAGTATACCTGTATTAGATTTTAATTATAATATCCAGTGCAGACGAGCGAGTTGTTTTATATGGGCATTTTTAATACATTGAAAGATTGAATTCTTTGAGGTATATAGTTTCTCTTACATTTTAATCGCCAGCGTTAGGACGTTAAATGAGTAATTTTATTACCTAGTAGTTATGTAGTTGTGTATCATGCGTGACAGAACTCGCTGTCTGCATTTGGGCACCCAAGACTTGTTATATTTATTGCTAGAGTTAGGCATTTTATACGTAAGTTTAGTAAATTAATGCCCGCGGTTGACACTTTACCTACCGGATTGTTAATTGTTCTTCTGTAATAGGAAGGAGATAAGAATGTGTTATTAATCCTTTGCATTCAAAGCTGGATAATGTAATTTGTCTGGAACGTTTCCATCCTGTTAGAGGCTCTTCTTACTTATTAGATTTGAAATTGGATTTAGGTTGAACCTGAAAAAAGACGGTCTATATAAAATCGAAGCTACAGCAATGCTCTTTGTAAAGTAGCTCTCAATATTTATCTATCAGATCTATATTATCATTATATATCTATATTATCATTATATTGTTATCATTATCTATCAGATCAATATTTATTAAATTAATTTTATAACGAACGAATATAATGAAAAATCGAAATTATTTTGAATTACGATATGCAAAGGGTTAAGAATGGTATCTGCAGCAGGTATTAAAGGTTTATATATTGTTGAACAAAACGTTTTGCGTCGATCTTTGTTATTTGCATAATAAAATTGTATTGTTTGTAACTTTGGAAGCTAGACATTGAAGTCCGATGTTACCAATATGGCGGCATTCGTTCTAAAATGATTGAAAAGCAATTCCCAATAAAATGATCTGTGACTTAATGTGGCTAATAGAATGCGAGTTGAATTGCTATCCGAGATATCTCAAGAAATCAGCTGCGAATCACGGACTTCCACGAACTATTGAACAGCCGATAGGTAACGTGTTAAATTAGCTGGGGAGACGGATTAGGTGTTAAGAAGAAACCCGAGAATGCAAACGCACAACTCTGTATTCCTAGTATCCGAAGACTTGCAAGCTTTAACGATATGACATATACTAATCTATGTAAATAAACATGGAACTTATTTAATTTGTACGGTAACGTATAAGAATTTTAGAAGCGTGATGTTTTGTCAATAAAATGCCGATCGAGGAAGCGATCGCGAGCCCCGCCCGTCGTAAGCTAAGCCGGTTTGTGATAACGTTAAAAATAAAGAAAATGGATCGTGTCCGACGACGACGTAAGCTCGATTAATTTTCATTTGATTTCACCGGCGGCGATGATCTTCGTCGAAAAGAAGAAGAAGAAAGAAAGAAAGAGAGAAAGAAAGAAGCGAAGACAAAGAAACGAGTCCGGCGCCGCAAAAAACACCGTGAAAGAAAAACGAGGTGTCTATCGATATGTCCCGTGGCCTCGTAAAGGACTCAGCAATTTCCCCGGGTGGAAAAAGCCGTCCGGGGGCGGCTTTATCCTTTTAAGAAGCGTTAAACGCGCTCCGATTCATAAACTGGAACTTATTCTTTCCCTTTTTGCCGATAAAGGAGTAAAAAGGCGCGGCGAATGAGAATTTCAACCACCTGTTACACCGCAAAACCACCCCCTTTCTCATCGGCTGAATGCTTAAACTGATTTATCGACAGACACCGGTGAAATTCGCCACGGTGCCCTTAGCGTTATTCCGAGGAGCAGATTTCTTCGGGCACCGGTCGCCGAAATTCTTAATTTCGGCGCTGATTTATCGGCCAAAAAGGAACACCGGAAATCATCCCCCAGGGCCTGGAGCTCACGGTTGCAACGCGCCGATCCCGGATCGCCTCTTTTACCGGAGCGTATCTCGCTACTATTATTTCTGGCCACCTTTTTTTTCTCGCGTTCGATTCGCTCGGAAAACGTAGCCATTTTTAAAAAAAGAAAAGTTTCAGCATTTTTTTCGCGAGCGTTAGTTCCCGCGCGGCGTGAGAGATGGCGGCACTATTGTATTGGGGAACACGAACGACGACAGGGATCCTTTTATCGAATGGCTTTCAGAGTTGCTTCTTTACGACTGCTTCTCCACGGATCTTGCGCGAGTTTTATTCGAATCCTATCAGACGTTTGATCGCTTCTGCTTGGGGTGTTCTTTTCTCTTCCCTGTATTTTTTTCCCCTCTGGCGGACCGCGAAGCGAAATGGAGAATAATCGCGCAGGTAAATGCACGGTAAAAATAACCGTGGGGGATGATCACTCATCGCAGGAGGTTCGGAAAGTATCGTCGATATGTTACGGGAATATTTTCCGCGGAAATATCTTGGTGTTTAGCCGGTAACAACTAACAATAATAAAAGAACTGTCTGAATAGCTTTTTCCATTGAAAAAGTTACGATTACACGGATTTTTTTTAATGGACCCATATTTTCTCATTCCGCCCGCACCGCAAAGTGCATCAAAGCAAATTCAGTCCACGCGCGCGCCATGTTTTTTTTATTTAGATGGGATCAATAAACTGTTCCGATTTTGGGGGGCTCACCTTTTATGCATTCAGAGTAGGATCCCATTTATACCCCGGGCAGCAGTGTCTAACGGCCTGATTTGTGGGACACATTTACGCATTCGCCGTTTCCGAAATTACAGTCTAATGGCGGAAAAAAAAATGTATACCAGAACGCACTTACACAAATTTTAATTACCGAACGTTTATACAGTCGCGTACAACCCCTCCGCTATTCAATTTGTACAACGTTGAGGTTTCCTGCGTTGTTTATCTCTTTTTATTTTGGCTTTTTTTTCCAACGGACATCTCCATTTTTTATTAATCTTGCGCGCAACACATTTATTTCCGCGTGAGCCATTCATGCCAATTATTACGTATCCTCGTTGTTCGTGTTTAAAGAATTCTGTAAAAATTTACGCACACGTTTATACCGGTTACGTGTGAAAAATTCGACTGCGCGGCGTAATGAAATACTAGTTTTTTGTATCGTTGCTACATCGCGAACTTCTGCGGACAATAAAGTTAATGGAAAAGTTTTCGGTGAAATATTTCATATTGAATACGGCTATCCCTCTTATTAAATAGAAATTCTTATTGGATATAAGACAGATGATGTGCTATATTGAAAAAAGATAAATTCTCATATTCTTTTAATGCGGAAATAAATTTGATAACCTATACGTAAAAAGTTTAATATAGAATTATTATTTAGGAAAGTGTTCGTTTATCATTCTTCGTGACAAAAACTATTGTTTCTGTTAATGTATGTCTGTCGTATATTGTTTCTAGAAATAGAGCATTTTTTTATTATTCAGTTATGTATAATTAGATAACTGTCTATTATCTCTTTTCCTACAACATTTAACAAAACATACTATATATGTTCAAAATATATGGCATTTTGTTTGAGAGCAAATAGAAATATATAAAATGATTGAAATTTGTTTGAATTTGAGACAAACAGAACTGAAACATTTATTTGTTTTTTTATTGATACTCTACACGATTTCATTCAAACTTTCGTGAACAAAAATTCAGACTGAAACTTTCGATTAGGTATAAGGAACACTTTATTTGTTTTAAAATCATT